TTCCTGAAAGTTTTGATTTAATGGGAAAAAATGTGAAGTGAGATCTTGTTTCTTTTTTAAGAATTAATGAGTGGTGCTAAGTGCTGTGAGTTTAACTAATTAAGGCTGGCTTGTTGCCACACCATCTTGGGCTCTGGTATTTTCAGCATTTATTTAGTAAGGCATATCAGACTAAGCAGCACTGAACACAGGAGACGTTAAAATGAATCCCAGTTCCTGCAAAAGGGGGCACTAATGACCATTTTAACATCATGTTGCCTTACCCCATCCGTAGATAGGTGATAGCTGCTTGTCAAATTTGGATCTAATTAAAACCATTTGATTAAAGGAGATCCAGTGATGCAGTTACTAAATGTAGATTATCATAAGGTCTTTCTGGCCCTCACATCAGTACGATTCTAGGTGCTGACACTTAAAATTGTCTTAAATAGCTTGTAACTTACATGAGCCCCCAAAGACGAACTTGAAAGGAGTTACGTTCTCCACAACTGCATTGCTTTTTAGAGTGACAAATGGAAAGCCAGCTTCAATTCTGCAGGAGCCCAAATTTTGCCCAAAGACCAATACAGTGGTACCTCGGGTTAAGTACTTAATTCGTTCCGGAGGTCCGTTCTTAACCTGAAACTGTTCTTAACCTGAAGCACCACTTTAGCTAATGGGGCCTCCTGCTGCTGCCACGCCGCCGGAGCACAATTTCTGTTCTCATCCTGAAGCAAAGTTCTTAACCTGAAGCACTATTTCTGGGTTAGCGGAGTCTGTAACCTGAAGCGTTATGTAACCTGGGGTATCACTGTAGTTGCCCTCCCAGCAGATGTCAAGACAATAAATAACTATTTTACTTTTAAAAAACAACTGAAGTAGGGAAGTTTTTAATGTCTGATGCTGTATTGTTTTTAATATTCAGTTGGAAGCCACCCAGAGTGGCTGAGGAAACCCAGCCAGATGGGTGGGGTATAAATAATAAATTATTATTAATTATTATTATTATTATTTTTATTATTATTATTATTATTATTATATAAGCAGCAGGGCAGTCCATTGGCTCTGCTGAAAGCCCAACTCCACTGAACTCTTTTCCCTGAACAGTTTCTATTCCCGCTGATCGCCATAAGAACTATTACGCAACTTTAACTCTTCCCTCCTTACCCTTTTTCCTTTTGTGCCATGTCTTTTAGATTGGCATCCTGCAGCCAAGGGCTGTCCTGTTTTTATTGATCAAACGTAAGCTGTTATGTGGAAGAGTTTCTGGCTGAAGAGCAGGCTGCGAACATGTTGTAAATTATATTCCTGCTATTATATTATCGGTGGTGATTGACACTGTTGTGATTTAATGGTATTTAATTGTGATCTTCTGCCAGCTGAAACCATTTTTGATCACCTACTCCAGAAACAAATGGGGAAAGACGTGATGTAAATGTCTTAAATAAAATCATCATAGTTCCATTGTGGGGAAGGATTTCATAATCGTTTTAAGGCCTGCCCACAGAGGACCAAAGAAATTTCAAAGACATACTACAGTCACAGGACATTGCCTAAGGCCAAACACACCCCAGCTGACTTATTCCTTCCCTGGGGTGCATGACATAGGTCTGAAACTGGATTTTCTTGTGGAAAACCCGCTGGTTAGCAATTCTGCTATGCGTCAGTGGGAGAGAAACAAACGTACATTTGCTACTTATGCTTTGAATCCCATGTAATGAGGTTATGCAAGACAGAGTTCACAGCTGAGGTAGTAGCCACAAGAACATAGCTATGTAGTTTGGGACCCAGGACCATGATACAAATTTGCATTTGTTAATATTGAGGTATTGGGTAGATTAAGATGGCAGATAGCTGGAGCGTAATCAGCACTGTGCTTTGCAGTGCACTCTGCTGCCCATAGAAGCAGATACGTGCAGGTTTGGGGTGGGTTTTCCCCCCCAATTATAAAAAGAATATGGGACTGTAGATCTGGAGCCTGTTGCAAAAGACCTGGGGCTATGGCCCCCTGGCTAGGCCACCTTTTAACAATGTCCCTGGCCACCAATATACATCAAGGACTCCAGTACAACTTCGAAATTAATCTGAGTCTCTTGCATGCTTGTTCTTTCACTTTCTGCTTGTTATAAATATTACCGGAAGCAGCCTGTGCAGAGGTAACTGTAGCACACAGTATGTTCTTTTCGAACAACCATTCATGAAAGGCTTAGAAACGCTCTCACAACCATAACCTCCTTCCAGGCATCTAAAAGCCTGAAAATGTAACGAAGGAAATAAATATTGTTTTGCTCCTCCAATGGTCCTGAGACGATGATAATAATAATGTAATTTGACATGCAAGTACTTTTCTCTGAGTTAAAAGCTAAATGAGGGTTTGGGGTTGTTTTTTAATGTAAAGCATGCATTGCCCTGAACACAATGGTCTGCATCTATTCTATAGACACAGGATCTTAAATCCTATTGAAAATCAATGGTGCTTGGCTCCAGCTGTGAGCTGGATTGCTGCCAATGTGTGAATTTTCCTTCCACTGTGAGGCACACAGACACAGGGCCAGTTCCCACTCTATGTGGCAATGCTATACACACAGCTGGGCATCAGGGCTGTGTGCCCTTCCCACTGCTCTCCGTCTTAATTACAAAGGTGTGTGTGTGAAGTGAGCTGTATTGCTGTTCATCCAAAAGGGCTGGAAGAATTACAGAGGTCCAGCATATCCATGTCAGGCTGTACATATCCATTGCTTCATGCCCCCTATTATATTGGTACATGGGTGGGGGTGGCAGGGAGAGGGGAACGCAATGCCTCGCAATGGTGAATTTGTGAGCAAGCCCACAACTTTTAAAAGCCACACTTGTACTTCTGGCTACAATTGCTCTGACGTCCTCCAAAGAACTCTGGGAATATCTATTTTCCTGAGCGTACCTTTTGCAGATTCCTAAAATCTGTGGTGGGGCGGGCGAAAAAGAAACCAGCTGCCTAAACTGTTGCAGAAATAATTACTTAGTGAGATTTCAAGCAGATTAAAAGCATAAGAAGCAACACACTAAAATTACAATGTCTCGCTTCAGGCAAAAGCAGTTTTGTTTTGCTTTTTCATTCCCTGTTGCTGGGAATGGCTGAAAAGTAACTGAAACTTGCACAGGAGCAACTCCTAGGAGCCCATGAAGAGTCTCGGGCTTCTTCAGTAGCGAAACAGGTGACAAACGCCGGCACCCTGTCTAACTCTTCTGCGTAAAATCACCAACACTTCGTTTGATCAAACTTATCCTCGTTGATATCTACAGGAGCCTGGCTAAAGGAACCTTTAAAGACTGAATCTTCCTTTTGGACACAATTTGAATGAGTTTTCTGTTTGTGGCTTCTGTAGTAGATCTTGTACATAGCTCTCTCAATTTTTGGATTATTAATATAAGATTTAGTACGTAGAATGGTTTGGTAGTGTTTTGTGTGCCGCTTATGTGCTGCTTACTTTATACTGGTCTACTACGAGAATTGGCAGCATAGGTTCATTTTTTCAATACTATGAGTAAAGCATGGAATCTAAAAACCCTACAAAGGGCATTCCGTGCATTCAAATTATTAAGGGTTCTGAATAAGCAATATTCAGATAATGAGAGTTTTGCTTCAGCTAGTATATACCAAAAATGGAAAAGAAAGTAAAATGTTAGATTAGTCATTGCCTTTCAAGAAGTTATCACCATCATACTTTACAAGAATTACCCAAAATCTGTCAGTCCCATTTCCTTTAATGAATCAGGTAATCTGGGTTAAAAACATTAATGTATTAAAAAAAAAAAGTTTTTTAAAAAAGATGTAAGCATGCTTCCGTTCATTTTTTATACCAAGGTTACCCTTTTTAGTCCAGTACCTCTAACTTGGATGAACCTGTCTGCTTTAATTTATAAAAACGGCAAGGGGCTGATTTTTTTCAAAAGCAAAAATAGCATCCAGGCACCCAGCAACTAAAAGGGGATCCACTGGAGTGAAGTGCCAGGGTGTGGGGTAATCCTCACCTGTGAAAATCTGTCCTCGCGTGTTTTGTCTGTAACTTTAGCCTCTGTTGAGCTATTCATTCTTTTATGTAAGTCAGAAGCCGCTGGCAGTGTTCAAGAGTAACCGGAGAAATCATGACAAGAGCATATGAGCGTACAGAAAACCCAGATGCATGATGGAGGTATCAAATGAATCTGGCATTCCAGGCTGACACACAAAATGAATGACTCGAATCTCAGAAGGGGGAGTTCCTCTGGGGCCAGATGAGGTTACCAGAGAAAGCCAGGGAAGCCCTTGCTGCCGTTGCATGAATTATGCATCTCTCAGATGCTGCACATTTTTCAGGACTTCAGGGTGCAGTTGGTTTTCCACTGTGCTATTCATTAAAATCAAACGCATTCACTGTCGTCAGTGAAAACAAAACTCACCCCATCTTGAACTGCTGAAAAACATATTGCTATTAATAAAAAGCAGAAATTGGAATTTGCCCGTCTCCTGTTCAAAGTGCAACGTAACCGACACAGGGTGCGGACATTTGTTTTCCAAGGACGTTAACGTCTCGTGAAAAAATGGCAGTGATGACAATGACACCAAGGACATGCTCAGCAGTGGCTGCATTTTAGAGAAACGTCCGGGCCATAAGCCAAGGAGGGGGGGGGTCCCTCCACAATCGCCAACTATCAGAGTATGAGGGAAATGGAGCGGGCAGTCCTGGAAAGCAGGTTTGCCAGCAGCAACACTGAGCGGCCTCTCTTTTGGTGATAATCTGGGAATCTGCAGTTATACAATAGCATTCTCCAAGACTGGGCTGCTGAAACAGATTACTTCATTCTCTCAAAAACAAACGGATAAAAAGAAAGGAGGCAGATCTGGCAAAGGCTCAGTAAATAAAAATAAGAAGCATATGATGCCCGAGATTCATGTGAACATAAAGTGACGTTGGCAGCCCCCACAAATAGAACTCCAGATAAAATTAGCTTTTGTCTAAATGTGGAAAGTGTGTAAATATAGTAGCAGGTTTCAATTTACTACACAAGCTCACAAGCTCCAAGTTGCAGCCACCTATTACAGAGCTCGTGCGTCAGAGGAAAAAGGGGGCAGGGAGAGAGAGAGAAAGAGAGAAGAAGGAAGACAATGCACTCTGCAATTAGTAGCTTCAATGAGAGGTAAATTAATTTCCCCAGCTGTATTGTGGTTATTATTGCTGTTTAGAAAGTGGACAGGGGTAAAATCGCATTGAAGTGCAGATGTCAGCATGGTGTAAATGGTACTTTAAAAAGGCCAAAGAGTGGAGGAACAACAAATACAGAGGCACCTTTTCAGGCAAGGAATTTTAATTGCAAACACAAATGCTTTGTAAGAAGAGTCCCTGGAAAATACTTTTGTGTCATTTAAGCTGCTGCAAATTACAAGAACAGACGTGTCTGAATCCGTCTGCTCCAGACTGATGTGTTGTGGGGACACCTGAAACTAGAACTCGCATCAAGCTCTTAAGGTCTGCGCTTGGAGGAGCTAAAGTAAAGAGATTTCAGGAGGGGGCGAGATTCTCAGCCAGATTTAATAGCTTGCTTTAGAAAACAGTCAAGATTAAATTAACAAAATCTGGTGTATTAATGCTATAGCATGTGGAATCACTGACAGTGTGTTGCTCTTGTGGGCAGGGAGAAAGTAACACCTTTTCCAAATGGAAGCAGCTGTGCCAAAGGGGGAAATAGCAACACGGGCCACTGGTTATTTTCATTTTAAGAGAAAAACACGTATTTGTGATAACCATCAGCAAATCACCTTATATAAAATGTCAACATTAGAACATAACTTATTAAGATAGATTTTTTAAATTTATTTATTATGAGTAGTGGTAGTATAAAAATATGCAAAACGGGTTCCAAAAATACACAGAGGGCTTCATGCTTCAGGCAATTAGGAAAATGAGTAAAACATATCATCTGCACTGATGGACATGAGGAGTCTTCAGACTGACACATGCAAACGAAATAGCGCAGGCCCTCTTGACAAAGGGCATTCCATGACGGAGGGGCCACCACTGGAAAAGCCCCTTCCTTTGTTGCTACAAAGTGCAGCTCTGATAAGCAAAGCCCTTGCAGAAGAACTTCAGCAGATCTCAGAACACGGGCAGACAGGGACGGGAACTGGCACGCCTTCAGGTGCCGAGGGCTCCTCCAGTTTAGGGATTTAAAGGTAAGTTCCAGTGTCCTCCTGCACATAGGCACCTCTTAGAATAATAGCTATAATGATAACAAATGTGTTTAGCACTTAAAAATCCTGGCAGCCATATTCCACACTAGTTAAAGCTTTTGAGTCATCTTTAATGACAGCCCCACATGTAATGCATTGTCGAGGCTTTTCGGGATTCCTGTGCCTCTAACTGAAAGTTTATTATTTGCAGACTCATCCCATTTCATTGCCTGTTAATCTCCGTTTGTGGGGATTCGTGGTGGAGAGTCTCTTAATGGCCTTGCAGTCGCTGCCTGCTCTGTGATGCTGTTAATTCATTGTCTCCAGTCGTGGCTTGTTTGTTTTAATAGTGAAATAGTGCTTTAAAAATAACAAAGGGGTGGAGGATGATTTTTTTAATATATTTTTTTGAGGTTGTATTTTGTATTATATCGTAAGACGGCCTGGGAAAAGGACGTTTTCTTTCTTTTTTTTCTGTGAAAGAACAGGAATTCAAATGCTTAAAATATATATTGGAGGAATGCCTGTGTTTAAGTACCTATCATATCGTGCTTTTGCAGGGCTCAAAAATATTATCTCAACAATCTTAAAATGGCCCTGTATGGTATTGGCAATATTAATATCCTCCTCACGCAAATGTGAGGCTGAAAACAAGTGGATGGCTGAAGGCCGTCTAGTGAGTCCATGGCCAACGCGAGGTTTAAAACAGGTCCTACTGACTCGTGGCTTTAGCTTTACACCAGCTCTGAGCAGGTGGGCTTTTTAAATATCAGGGCATGTTGTTGCTGTACACACAGATATCGCCTCCCCTGAGGGAAGCAGTTTTAGGATGGAGGCCTCTCTGTCACACACTCTCATCAAGGAACTTTTTCTTTTAAAAGTCAATATTGCAGAAGGTGTTTTTTTGTTGTTTTTTTACCTTGACACATTAATTTTAAGTAACATTTCCCAGTGGACAAATTCAAAATGGGCCCCCTAAGGATGTTCATTTATTAGTGACTAAATCATTATCACCACTGTAAGTTATGTTGCACCTTTGGAGCGTTCAAAATATTTCACATATATTACCTCAAGAATTCTGTCAATCCTTTTTAGTACTAAGTAACTTAATATCATTATCCCCATTTTGCAGATGGAAGACTGAGGCCAGGACATGAGTGGCTTGCATAAGGCCACTTAGTGTGCTTGTGGCTACAGTTCACAAAGCAGACAACATCTGGGAAACTCATGACCAGATTCCTTTAAATTCTGCTGTTTAAAAATTTTAAAGCAGCCTTTGGTGCTACAGGAGGACATATTTAACTCTTCCCCTGAAGCTACTAACTAAGCCGGGGGGGGAGGGGGGAGCAGGGAACAGGAAACAGGACAGTTAAACCATAAAAATGACATGGGGGGCGAGGTTAAGCACCCTTTCATTCCCGTGCTCCTTTCCGATGCAAGTCAGATCCCTTTGTGGCATCTGTCTTGTCCCTCAGCCACTGTGCTGGCCTAGATCTCAAGTACCGGCCCAATGAATAGCACTCCTAATAAATGGTGCTTCTAGCAGAACAATCCTGCGAATTGCTGAGCTGTTAAATCCATTTTCAGATCAGGTGCAAAAGCACTAACAAGCTGCCGCATTGCATAGCCAGTGGCTTGCGCGTCAGTTTGGGTCATTGCGCTGGTACATCTGCTGAGTCAGCTGCTTTCCTTACAGTTCCCATTGCTGGCTGTAGTGCGATAGGGACTTGCCTAATACCGCCTTTTCTCCTGGCAGCACTATGCCGTGGTGACTGGAGCAGCCGAGCGAATTCACCCCACCAAACATTCTCCACTTTGAAATAATGGCTGCCGATAGCAAGCATGGCACTACCGGTCATAGCTGCGGGGAGAGCAGTTCCCAAATAGCGCATCCGTTCCATGTGTTCAGTTGCTATCCTAACTTACATCATTTGGGGAACAGGTGAGCTTCATTTTGCAGATGCCCGGGGATGTTGATGGCCAACATAAGTGAGAAACTGCAACAGTAGCAAAGCTGGAATAGAAGAGAAGATAGGTTTGCTCCAGGCCAAAGATTGCCTTTGTGAGTCACATAGGAAAGTGAGGCTGCTCTGTTTCCTCCAATCCGGCTTCGCTCTGTAACAACTTCACTTCCCTTCTGCTAGCAATGGCCTTATAAGGCTTGTTTGGGCAATTTTGCAAGATGAATAGTTCCGTTATAATAAGTTGCCAAAATCTTAAATAATGATCTCTTACAAATCTTGCAAGAGAGGAGGGTTGGCTGCCTTACAACGTTCTGGCTAATGTACAAATTGAAGCTACAAACTCCCACCGCTGCCGGCACCAAAAAAGGAGCTTCCTGGGAAACATCAGCCAAGCTCTTAAGATTCGCAGCTTAGCATTATCAGAATCTATTTAGTCAGCTTCAAATACCAAAACACACATGAGGGACTCTGGACTTCAAAACCTCAAGAAATCTCAAAGCTGTAGTGTTTGTGTTGTTGTTGTTCGGACTTTTATCCCACTCTTCTTTCCAAAGAACTCAGGGTACGGCATCATAAGTAACGCAATATAATGGGAAAAGTATTACAAAAATTTAAAACAACTAAAAACAGATTTTCAGGATCCAGGAACGGTCAGAGTGGGAAGCTGAGGGCAGGAGCACTTCAGGAAGCAATTCTCAGATTTCTCTAGCCACACCGTCGGAAACGGGGGCTGAAACTGCCCCCCTCCCAAGCCATTTTTTCTGCAAGGACCCCCACCCCAGATTTTGGCTGCATCAGCAAAACTATTTTTTTCCCTAAAGGAAACATGGTGTTGGGGCGGGTGGAGCTCAGGGGTCAGCAAACTTTTTCAGCAGGGGGCCGGTCCACTGTCCGTCAGACCTTGTGGGGGGCCGGACTATATTTTGAAAAAAAATATGAACAAATTCCTGTGCCCCACAAATAACCCAGAGATGCATTTTAAATAAAAGGGCATTTTCTACTCATGTAAGAACATGCTGGTTCCCGGACTGTCCGTGGGCCAGATTTAGAAGGTGATTGGGCCGGATCTGGCCCCCGGGCCTTAGTTTGCCTACCCATGGTAGAGCCCATCATGCTCTACCTTGAGCTGGCCCCGATTCTCAGCTGGCGTTTCCTTTCCCTTACATTTAAGTCAGCTGGTTCCTCTCCTAAGAGTCAGAGAACAGTCCCAGGGCTGCCTCCTGTCACCAGCCGGCCCTGATGCTGTTTCCCCCATAAAGAAAAAGAATCACACAAGCATCAGCTTCTCTGCTGGGATTATTTTGGCTGCATCCGTTCTAAGGTTCATCTTTCTCCTGCAAAGTATGCTTATGTTCCTGATGTTTATTTTATTGCATTTATATCTCACCTTTTATCCAAGGAGCTGATAATTTGGTGTCATCAGGAAACTTGACTGTCTCACTGCTCACCTCTTAGAACCATGGGACCTTGTTCAGTTGTTCAAAGCAAAGGCTACAATCCCAATCCTTGAGGGATTCCACTTTCTACATCCCTGCACTGGGAGAACTATCCATTTATTTCTACTCTCTGCTTCCTGTTCTTTAACCAGCTACTGACCTCTTTTCTTATCCCGTGACTGCTTACTCCTAAGGGGCTTTTGATCCATGTGCGATATACTCAAAGAACCCTAAAAGGCTTTTTAGATGAGACTTATCCTTGCCGAAGCCATACTTCTTTTTCTTCAGCAAGACTTGTTCTTCTGTATGCTTGATAATTCTATCTTTAATCATCGTTCCCACCAGTTTTCCCAGAACAGATGCTAAATTAACCAGCTTCTAATTTTCTTCAGATTCCATTATTAAAATTGTCGCATTAGCCACCTTCCAAGTGTCAAATATGAAGACTGATCTTAGAGAAAAATTACATATTTTTGTTAGAAGATACTGGGTTAAGAACACTTAGGTGGATGATTTCCTTATTTCTCCACGTTTTTAATTTCTCACTAAAGCTTCACCTGTTGTCACTGTGATTTGCTGCAGTTCCTCAGATTCCCTTCCTGAGAAAGGGAGTCACAGTGTCACAGTGAAGACAGACGCAAAGAATTCACTCAGCTTCTTTGCAATTTTCTTTTCCACCTTTAACACATATTTAACTTCCTTGTTGTCCAATGGTTCGACTACCTCCCTGACTTGTTTCTTGCTTCTAATGTTTTAAAGAAATAGTTATTGTTGGACTAAATGTTTTCAGAGAGTTTGGGAATTTTTTCACCCCTTATTGTCTGTTTGCATTTCTTTTGCCAAGGTTTATGTTCCTCGTTCTCTTCTTCTGGACATTCTTGCCTCTCATAGTTTCCTCGCCTCTGCTCATTAACCCTGCTGGCCATCTCTTGGCCCTGCTGGTCCCTTTCCTAATCCGCAGTGTACAGTCCAGCGGAGCTTCTGTTGTTGTGTCTTTTAATAACCTCCAAGCACTCTGGAGAGATTTGACCCTCTTGACTTCCCTTTCGACTTTCTTCTGTCCCCTCATTTTTGCAAAGTTGCCTCCGTTGAAGTCAAATGCGTTGGACTTTCTTGGCAATTGCCCAGTACGTTGAATATGTTAGGACAGTAGTCACTGTTCCCAGTCAGCTCAACAAGACTTACACCTCACAGCTTTGTATTATTTCCCTTTTAAGCCATCTCTACAAAGCTCTACACATCCTGATCCATAGAAGCAGGTAGGGGGGTGTTATTGACTTCTGTCAAAACACATCCGTGATCAGTGCTCTCAGCTGAATGTCATTCATCTGAGCCAGGCCAGCCGCAAAGCCCAGGGACTGCTATCTAGCCTCACTAGGCTCCCTTCTTATAGTAAAGCCTGGCAGTCTGGAGGTGGTTATTCTTTGGATTCTGTCACAAAAATCAGGAAAATTGAGCCATGTTTCTTGAGAAATTTCTATTGCTCCATCTGATTGGGAAGAGATTTCCTCAGAGCTGCCAAATTTCAAATGCTACTCAAACATTTGGCAACTGTGAGCGGTGAACAGGGGTTCCATTTACGCTGAAGAATTTTCTTGCCAACCATCTTTGTGCTCAGGAGACTGTTTCCTGCATTGATGTTATGTGGTTTTTTGTTCAGTTTCCTAAAATAAATATTGACGGGTCACCGGGAGCCTCCTTATTAAGAATCATGTTTATTCATAAATCCCCAGAATTTATTTCCAGGCACAACACGGACCTACTCCATTAGCTGCTTCATTATGTATTCCCCACCTCTTATTATGCTACATTTGTGACTTGTGGGCGAGTCTCATATATTTGGATTATAAATTTCTCATATTATGTTGATGTTGCTTGTATAATCTGTTTCACCTTTTCTTTATGTGCACTTTCTTCCTGATCTTTTTTTTTAAAAAAAAATCTTATTATTTCATCATAAAATTCCAACCCCCCTTTCCTCCCAGGAAATCAAGTTCATGGTTCTTTCTCCCTGTTTAATCCTAACAACAACCCTGTGAAGTAGGTCAGGCTGAGAGACTTTTCTCTCTAAATCCTAAAATAATAAACATGAGGACTGTTCAGATAAATAATTAGCAAATGCATATATTAATCTCTTTTCAGAAAATTAGATGTGTTAGACTGTTGTAACAAAAATAGCCGAGGGAGGGAGAAATCTGTTAAACTTGCTCCATACCAGCCTACAGCAGTGTTGAAGAGCAGGACAAGCGCATGAACGCTGGGCCAAATGGATCAAGAGATGGAGGACTCACACTTGTATTTCCCACCAGCTTTATTTTTCTCAAGCCACAGAGCTGAACTGATTTAGACTGGACTAGCTGTGCCTAGAGAGGTGGCTTGATCTCAAGGGTTGCCAACATGGTGCACCCAAAATGTTGGGCTTCCAACTTGCATCAGTCCAAGTCAACATGGCTAATGGTCAGGGATGAGGCGAATTGTAATCCAACAGCATCCTGAGCGCACCAAGCTGGCTATCCTTGGATGAACCTGTTAAGTTGTGGGTTGACATAGCAGACAACACAGCGATTTCTCCAAAGCAGCTCTTTATTTTGTAAGCTGGAACAGAACTAACAGGAGCTCAGTCAGCCTGCTTATATAGAGCTCCAAAACAATGTAACTGTTGCCATTTTCTAAAACTATCCAATCACTGAACGTCACTTTTCGATCCTTCATTTGCATACAAAACTATCCAATCACTGAACGTCACTTTTCGATCCTTCATTTGCATAACTATCTACAGTATCCCCCTGCTGGCCCAGGGTGAGAACTTCAGTACATAACAGAACCATTTCCCTCAAACATCATTTTCTGCCAGTCTAATTCTTGCCCCCACCAATCTGCTACTAGCCCCGCAGGAAAAAATATAAAGAAACATTTTCTCAGAAAACCACCATTACCCTATAACTGCTACTATTCCCCTGGAGGAAAAAAAAATACAGGCGAGAGCATCTGTTCTGCTCATAGGCACATGCACAGGGTGTGCAGGGAGTGCCCAGGCACCCCATGATTTTATTTTTTCATGAGGATCATGGCAAGGAGGAGACACAGGCAGAATAAAAAGGCTGGACTGGGTCTGCAGCAGCACCTGTCTCTTGAGGCAGTGGCGGAGTGAAGGAGGAAGCCACTTCCAGAGATGGAGATCTGTTCCTGCTTTGTTCCTCTGCCTGCACCTCTGTTTTGGTGGCTCTGTCTCAGTCCAAGCTCCACCCGCCTTTTGTGCAGAGAGGCCTGTGGGGGTGGCAGGCTGATTTTGTGGTGCGCAAGCAAAGAGGAGGGGAATGCGTCTTGCCCTCAGTCCTCCATATCTCCCCATCTCCGCCCAGTTCTTTTTCTCTTCAGGAATAATATTCTCCTTTGGCTTCTTGACCGCTCTTCTTCTTGTTGCCCTGTTAGCTTTTTGTCTCTTTACCTCTTTCCTTATTTGTCTTGCCATTCTCTCTCCTCCATTCTTTCTTCACTGAAATAAATAAATAAAATTTCCCCAGGTGCAAACCCTAATGAAATGTGCTGCACATGCTCCTGCTACGTGAGTAATAGCAGCTGGGGGCAGGGAAGCAAATAAATGCCCCCACTCCCCAGTTGTGGCTGTTCTAATCCAATTTCTGCAGCTGCTTTTGATCACTTTTAGGTAAAAATAAAAACACCAGGAGATCTGATCCTGGAGCTCCTGTGATTCATGTCCTTTGGCCCTTACTAAGATTAATGCTTCTTGTAGCATAAGGTTTGTTTACTATAGCCCATTCAAAGTGGCTTCCTATATTCATTTGGCACATATACATTGGTGTTTAAGGATGCATACTTTCCATATTCATTCCAGAAAGACCCATGTATGCGTACTACCCACTGCAAAGGCAATTATTTCATGATATTTGGAGCCACCCTAGTAAACTACCTTGTGTGTCCTTTTTCCTATACCAGTGATGTAACTCTAGCAAGATGGGCATCAGAACTTGTACAAAAGAAATACTCTGAATATATGTTGTTCTCTGACCAGCTGTGCTGATTATAGATTGCAACAGGGAGAGATGCAGATGGATCTTTTGATGGTTCTTGATTTTGCTTAAAAGGCTGCTAATTTTGAGATGGTGGTTTTCTGTAACGCAGCTGGCAGTTTCTCTGAATTTATGGTAACATATTTCAAAGGACCAGTTTGGGTGACTTACACCACTCATATTATTTCACCTGATTGGGTAGATGTTCGCAGGGGTTACCAATGTTAGATGTCTCTTCTCTTTCTGCCCCAAAGACAAGAAATAGGATACAACCATTGTGTAAATCCCTTAATTTCCTTGCTTGTCATAATGAGACACAGTATTCAGTTTGGGGTGATGATGTCTCATTATCAAGCCCCCAGGCTTGATAAAGAACTTGCGGGGGGGATACTAAGTCGATCTGCTCTAGATGCCTTAAAGCATTGCCATGATTTGGTTGTCACGATGGATTTACGCAGAAAATAAATACTAGGTTGTTACTATATGCTTATTTGCACTCCTGGCATGTCTATTGTCCTTACAGATTATTAATGCATATCTATTTAACCTTATTATGTTAAAAAGATTATAAAGAAGAGAGATAATTCAGCCACCTCTTTGAGACTGACGCTCCTCTCTTGCAGCTTTTCCTTGGGAATGTTTAAAAATGGCAGTGATCAGAGATTGAGAATGCGTAAAGCTAAATTAATTGTGAAAATGTTACTTGAATGTTGCATTCCGTGCTTTCAGTGTGGGCCATCTGTGGGCTCAAGTGTAATAGTAAGTGTAGACTCTCATGGGTAGGCAAACTAAGGCCTGGGGGCCGGATCTGGCCCAATCGCCTTCTCAATCTGGCCCGCGGACGGTCCGGGAATCAGCATGTTTTTACATGAGTAGAATGTGTCCTTTTATTTAAAATGCATCTCTGGGTTATTTGTGGGGGATAGGAATTTGTTCATTTTTTCCCCCTTCAAAATATAGTCTGGCCTTCCACATGGTCCGAGGGACAGTGGACCGGCCCCCTGCTGAAAAAGTTTGCTGACCCCTGGTAGATCATCAAAGAGGGACATTGCCTATCAGCTTGTAGAGAGAGCTCCCCTCAAAGCCAGAAGGAGGTGGAGGGCCATTCTGACAGAAATACGGTGGTACCTCGGGTCACAGGCGCTTCAGGTTACAGACTCCGCTAACCCAGAAATTGTACCTCAGGTTAAGAACTTTGCTTCAGGATGAGAACAGAAATCAGGTGGCGGTGGCATGGAAGCAGTGGGAGGCCCCATTAGCTAAAGCGGTACCTCAAGTTAAGAACAGTTTCAGGTTAAGAATGGACCTCCGGAACAAATTAAGTTCTTAACCAGAGGTACCACTGTGATAGAAACTTAGGACTTTTGGGTTAGAGTGTGGTGCTGAGAACGCCAAGGTCTCAGGTTCGATCCCCGTAGGGGACAGCTGCATATTCCTGCGTTGCCAGGGGTTGGATTAGATGATCCTTGGGTGTCCCTTCCAACTCCATGATTCTTTGAGACATTTATGAAGGCCCAACCACACTTTCATTTGTCCCATGATTTCTAGTATTTCATATCCATCTACGATCAAGGGTCCGAGAGGTCTCTTTTTGGTTTACAGTATTTGTTTTGTCTTGTCTGTGGGCATGGACATGGGAGCTCCACTACCCATTGGCTCTGACTTGTCTGCGCTGAGGAAGCCCCCTGGGCTCATGGAACACAGGAACGCCCCTCCACCTGAGTATTGGAGGTATTCCTACTGGCAACGGTTGTCCTTGAACCTATGGAGGGTGATGGGGTCAAGGACAGGACCTAGTTCTCTCGCGTACACATTCTCCCCTCCTAGCTTGCACTCTGAATGCCTGAATGAGGCTCTTGTGACCACTGATTCAACAAATTTTGAAGTCACCAAACAGAATTACAATGCGCGACAGGAGAAAGGCATGATAAAACCACCTTTACAGATGTTTTCGTATGCAGTATATGGGAGGTTAATGCAATCTGAGTTAGATTACTGAATTGGCTTTTTATTATTGAATTGTATCCACTTGAGCAATTATCAAACCAGGTGCTGCTGATTGGAATCAATTATTTGTTCACCTGATCACTATAAAGCTGACAAGGGCATACGATTGCCACTTGAGGGTGCTTCCACTACTACTGAAGCCTTGTTGAAAGGTATTTATTAGTTTGTGATGCTCCAAAAATTCTCCCCTATTTGGCGAGGGCAAAAAAATTAAACTGGCAGGGGAGAAAGTCTTGATTAGATTGCCGTGTAGCCTTAATGTCTGGATAAATTTAAGAAAGGTTATTCACGGTGTTCCTGCATTAAACTTCTTGGGTACTCCGGGGGGATACTGCCCTACAATAATATTTCCTTCTTTATTTATTTCCTAAACTTTATTCGCCGCTTGATTGTAAAACAAACAAACAAACTTCAAAGCAGTTTACAAAAGATAAAACAAGAAAATCAAGAAAAAGTCAAAACCTTACTTTGAAACATACAGAAATTAAAATACTAAAACAGATAAAAATTACCTCACCTTACCTCACCTTTCTAAGCATCTGGGTAGGCTTCTCTAAGCAATGTTTTTAGCGGGAACTGAAGAGAGGCTCCTGGTTAATCTCAATAGGTAGGGAGTTCCAAAGTGCAGGCGCTGCCACGCTAGTTGACCGAGTTCTTGCCAATGCAGAAGAGATATTATGTGGCACGGAGGTAGTTTATTGGAGAGTAGTTTAACAACGCAGCATGAGCTGATTTTCAGCAGCGATGAGAGTGTAAGCAAAAGCATTAATAACATGAGATTTGGCCAGAAGGACACATCCTTACACAGGTCTTTTGGATGTTAGCAGTATTTTCTGCCATGTTAAGTCGAGGGGTTTTACATGGTGTGTTGCCTAAAACCTTTCAGCCTGGTTATTTCATTATTCAATAGACCAAAGAGTTTAGAATCGCTATACAAAGGAATGTAGAGTAATTATGAGTTGTGCATGGATTTTTGCTCCTTTCTCTAATTCCCTATTACTCCAAGCTCCAGGGCTTGTGGATTTTAATATGGCATACTAATATGTTGCATCTTGATGTATGAAAGTATAATATTGTTGACCATTGGTTTAGTTATTATAAATAAATTTTACAATAAGATGTCTTTAACATTTACTCACTGTTAACAGACAATATCTGTGTTTTTCACCAAAGATTTGTCAAAACTTTTTGAGCTTTTTTTAATACAATAAATAAATAAATACATGCATCTCCTGGAATCTGTTGTACTGATTCCCTAAAGCTATACCTAAATGGAAAGCCACGTGGAACTGGGTTTTGTGAAGGCTCTAAGTTGCAATGACAAAGGCAAGAATCTTCAAAGCCAAGCCTGTCAGACTGACTCACGTTGATCGTGTCTGATGGTGGGCCTTTTTCATGACCTTGTATTTTCTTCAATGGAACATGGGGAACCAGGGATAAAAACTATACCACAAAAACATTCCCTGATAACTTCACACATTCAGTTTTACACACACACACCAGCAACCCATATCATCACTTTGCAGTGACTGATGCTCCTCAGGGCTTTTTCCCTTAGGTGAAAACTAGACATTACCTTAAAGCTACTTTTGGGTTCACACCCTTTAATACTGGAGGTGGTTTTAATTGGATCTGCAGCCTTGATTCTGAGAAAAATCCCGCACCCCAGTGGCAGTAGAAGAAGATTTCAGGACTTCCCATTTCACGAGCCATCTTTAGTGCAGTCTCAAAAGTTAAGTTGGCTCCCTGCAACAATTCCTCTTGTATATCTTTGGAGATCAACCCCACCGTCTTTTATCATATCATCTGCATCATGAAATGCACAGTCCCTTGCTATAAAACAAAGCGGCGTTAACCATCCATCTATGGATTCAGCCTGTCCTTGTTGGCTCTCAAAAAAGTGTTTTCTCTGCACAGGGACATTCATATGTGGAGTGCAATATGCTTCAAAGTTTGCAAACAATATCTCAAGTTTCTTCTTGTCCTCAGGGGCTGGCTTGCCACTTGCAGTCCATGATCTGCAAATATCTCTGCCCTTCTGGCCTATGTATGTCAGGAACTGTGAAGCCTTGTGCTCCTCAGACCACTTGTCTGCTTCAGGGCCTGCGGAAATCAGTTCCATAATTCCCCTCCATTGTGACCAATTTTCTGCCACATTCCCTGAGACAAAAAACCAAGCGTCTTGAGCTGGAGGCCATTCTTTCAGGTGCTCCTGCTGGGTCCTGCTTCTGCCTGGCTTACGGTATAAGGCAGATGGCAGGAGATGCCACGGAGCAAAGCAGCAGCTGAGGCTCCAGGCAGCTGATACTTTCATTTCCTCTAAGCACCTTTGGACCCATGTGGCCCAATAGGCAGGCTGTTAGGGGGCAGGGGAAGGAGCAGGCCCCAGCCCAGTGGTCCATGAGTTTGCCCACATGCCAAGTTGGTTGCTAACACTGGCCCTGTTTTCTGACATCTCCCATTATCTGCTGCTCTTGTTGTGGGCATTTGGGAGATCTTTGACCAGCCCCAACAACATCATTAGGGGTGGGCAAATCTGTCCATTCCAGTTCCTCTCTCTTCCAGTCCTGTTCAATCCTTCACATTTCCAAATCAGTTTGTGAATTTCTCCTAATATGCACTTTCCTCTGCAGAGCAATGTTCGCCTAATATTTTTGTATTTTGTTTTCACTTTACCCTAGTAAAAGCATTTTTGTACCCATTAAAAAAGGTAAAGGGACCCCTGACCGTTAGGTCCAGTCGTGGCCGACTCTGGGGTTGCGGCGCTCATCTCACTTTATTGGCCGAGGGAGCCGGCGTACGGCTTCCAGGTCATGTGGCCAGCATGACTAAGCTGCTTCTGGCAAACCAGAGCAGCGAACAGAAACGCCGTTTACCTTCCCGCGGTACCTATTTATCTACTTGCACTTCGATGTGCTTTCGAACTGCTAGGTTGGCAGGAGCAGGGACCGAGCAACGGGAGCTCACCCCGTCGCAGGGATTTGAACCGCCAACCTTCTGATCGGCAAGCCCTAGGCTCTGTGGTTTAGACCACAGCGCCACCCGCGTCCCGTGCATTGTTTAGATTGTTTAGGACAGTGCAAATTCGGCAGCTTCACCTTTAAATGAGAACTGTATTGAATTTCCCTCCCTTGGCACCATCAAGACAGAATGATGTCTTATAATAGTAGAGTAATACATGTAAGCTCTGCCTGATACTTTGACTAAATAAGACTATAAAATGGTTTAATGTGCTCCATAGAAGTAGACACCATGCCATAGCACTGATGATCCCCAATGCTGGGATCAGAATGACTCAAGTGTCTGCTAGTATAACACAAAATTAGATCTGCTCCTTTTCTACCCTAATTTGTGTCTGTTAGTATTAAACGTGACAAAGGCAAAAAACTTTAAAGATATTCCTATGGGCAATGGAACAAATCTTACAGTGCCAAAAGAAGATTAATCACAGATAATTGCAGGACAAAAAAGAGAACACTCACGTTGTGGCATGTATGGAATCCGCATATTTTCTGGAAAAATTAGATTCTAAACAATAGCTGGATTCTTCCATTCAGCCAGATCCCTTTCCAATAGGTCTGAGGGTACCGTATAGGATGAAATTTGGCGCCATTTGCAAAAACAATATGAGTACATAGGAACTTGAGCGCACCTCTTTTTTTGCTTGAACTACTCGATCAACTTTTTTTGTGAGAATCCCATGTTCAGTACACTTCCATGAGGTACCCCCCCCCCCGTGTCCTGATTTTCCAGGGACAGTCCCAGAATTTGGATTTGATCCCAGAATGTCCCGATTTTCCCTGCCAGCACCAGGGACGAGCTCAGGGACGAAGATGAGCCTGTGCTTGTCTCGAGTGACGACAATGGCAGGGTGGCGGCTGCGGGGAATCCTCCCATTGCCTCTCCCTGGCTGCCACCGCTGCCCTCCTTCCCTGGGCAGCTCACAGCAGCTGCTGGTGAACAGGCAAGAAGGAGGTGAGGCTGCTGCCACCGAGGCCCAGCCCAACGTGGCGTGCCGGCTCTGAGGGGGCAGGCAGAGGGCAGGGCCACCCTGGGTGGAAAGAAAGGGGGAGAGGAGCAGAGCGCAAGGAGTCTTGGTGTGTGTGTTTTAATGCTTTGTGCATCCATATCTAATATTGCCCCTTTCTAAAATGCATTTGGGACACGGGTGGCGCTGTGGGTTAAACCACAGAGCCTAGGACTTGCTGATCAGAAGGTCGGCGGTTCGAATCCCTGCGATGGGGTGAGCTCCCGTTGCTCGGTCCCTGCCAACCCAGCAGTTCAAAAGAACGTAAAAGTGCAAGTAGATAAATAGGTACCGCTCCGGCGGGAAGGTAAACGGCGTTTCCATGCGCTGCTCTGGTTCGCCAGAAGCGGCTTAGTCATGACCCGGAAGCTGTACGCCGGCTCCCTCGGCCAATAAAGCGAGATGAGCGCCACAACCCCAGAGTCGGCCACGACTGGACCTAATGGTCAGGGGTCCCTTTACCTTTAAAATGCATTTATTGGTGTGTGTTTTTCTTTTAGTACATCTAACAAAGAATAAAATAAAATAAAGTGGGATAAAGGGTTTTTTTCTCAGGACGCTGGAGAGTGTGTGCGCTGTGTCCTGTTGGTGTTGTGGTGTGATAGGAGTCAGGGGAGTGAGAAATGTCCCTATTGTCACCCAAGGAATGTTGGAGGGTATGCCAAGTGTCAGAGACTTTACCTGATGGCTATCATGTGGCCCAGTCCTGCATCATATTATTCACTCTGCTCTTATGGGGCTCATGTGGCCTGCTTATTTTTGGTGCCACCAGAAAAAGAAGCTTGGAATCTAAATCATCAGCATGAGGAGGCAATAGCTTTCCAACTGCTTATACCAAGCAAAGGCTGCTGCATAAGCTTAGATTGCATCTTATTTCACTTCCAAAGGCTGTACCTGAAAAAAATCTTTAACGTGAAACAAAATGCGTAAAATATAATAAAAACAGAGAGATGACCCACAGAACCAGTAATGATTGACAGATTGTGTTAAAGGGTATGAATGATCAGAAACAGCTATAGTTCTTTCAATGGCTGATCTTCAGCCTCTATAAACAGTAGAGCCAAAGTATGTGTGGCCAATGCTCAGCACAGGGACCATTAAGTGGTATGGAGAGTGGGAGCTTGTGGCAGTCCTTGGCTGTACCGTGAGAGCCAGAAAGCCTGGGCTATGGAATAAAGGCCGACTCACTCTCTTGCCTGGTCCACAGTGGCTCAACAGATTGCATATCTGTAACTGCTCTGAGCACAAGAATGGCATTGTCGCATACTCTGGGCTTGACTTGCTGCACATGCTATCTTGCCACCGCTAACCTAGCTGCTCTTAGGTAACCCTCTGTGTTCTGTCAAGAACTGGACAAGAAATTATGGCGTGATTTATGGATGGAATTTGGAACTTCTGACTCCAATGAGCTTTTTCTGCATTGGACCATCTCATGCATTGTTGAGTGTTTGTTTTAAAAGCCCAACTAATTATATGCAAAAATGTGCATATTACATGTATCCTATGCGTAAGAGAGTTAGGCTCCATGCACTGCTAAATTTCTGTTCCATAATTTGGGAAGTAATAGAAATTTTTATATGGCATTATTGTATGTATCTGCTTATGTGCTGTATTTTAGGAAACCAGGGGTGTATATGCACATCAAATGTGAGTGTGATATTGGGTATAATAATAAAAAATACACTATGCTAAAATTGTTCATATTTTTAGCAGAACCAGGCTAGGGGGAGGAGGAAAGAGAATTCTTACTTCCGATTTGAGATCAAGGAGTGAGGCAGGGGTTAGGGAAAAAATCCATGTGCATAAACTCGACATTAAGATTTTCAGTGAAAGCCATCCCTAGTTCTGCCCCTCCATCTTTGGTAATATACAACTTGTGCCTCTCTCTCTCTCTCTCTCTCTCTCTCTCTCTCTCTCTCTGTGTGTGTGTGTGTGTGTGTACATCTTGTTCTCTCTTACTTCTCCCAATGTTTTGCTTGTTTATTTACTGCAATAGTCTTATACATTTTATTGTATGACAGGCCATCATATGGCGCCCTGAGGCTGCGTCTCAGTAACATGGCACCTCATGCATGTTATCAGAAAGCGTACTTTCTTTCCTATTTCCTGCCCAGAGCGTCCTTCATATCTAAACACATTCGGGGGGGGGAGAGGAGTCATTTTATGCACCATTGCAAAACTTTGTATATTAAATTTATGGTTGCTTGGCATATAAAACACGAAATATTTATTGCATTTTTAACAACCAATATTTATAGTAACATGTCACTCACTTGGTATGTACTTTGCATATGAACCTGGTACATGCCTTGGATACTCATTTTGGAACAAACTGCTCTAGCAAACATTCAAAACCGCAAAGACATGGTGCAAGTGTAGAAGAAAAATGTTAATGTATTGTATGCCTATGCAATCTAAGCATACTGTAATTGGTCTATGGCTGTTAAGGCAGCCCTGTTTAGGGTAGTTTTAAATGTTTGATGGTTTGTCATTTTTTATTATTATTATTATTATTATTATTATTATTATTATTATTATTATCATTAATTCTGTTGGGAGCTGCCCAAAGTGCCTGGGGAAACCCTGCCAGATGGGTGGTGTGTGTGTGTGTGTGTGTGTGTGTGTGTGTGTGTGTCTGCCACTTTCCATGAAACTAAAAATGGAGCCTCATGAACCAATTGCCAGTTGTTGGGAACAAATGACAAGAACTCACAGGTTCGTCACCATCCCTGGTGCTCCCTTGTCCTGAATGAAACTTCTGCCTTATCCAGCCAGGCTGTTCCATCCTGTTTTCACTGTTAATACATTTATTTAGATTTGTAAATTTAGCTGCTCAAAGCATTGTTACTGGAAAACTGCTGGGGGGAAATCATATTGTATCTGGGCAGAGGCTGTGAACAGATATTAAGCAGTCAGGGCAAAGGGCACCTGTCATAATTTGGTCCTTTGCACATTTTTCCCCAATAAAGTGCTTTGTGGGAAAGGTAAAATGTGATAGTTTGGGCTCCAAAGAGAAGAAATCACTACAAAAAAAGAGGGTCAGAAGACCAATTGACCAATTGGTGGAATCTTGCATACTTATGGGAAAGCAAGGATCCCACAGAAACCTCTCCTGTTCCACTGGATCTGCTGCCAGTGCTCCAAGCTCTCTCAGCTTAAGCTTGCAACTCAACAAGCAGGGCATTCTTGGTGAAGGCACCGCATCTATGAAACTCCCTCCCTCCTGTAAAAGCAGCAGTGGTGCATGCAGGGGGGCGAGAACAGGGCTCTCCTGGTTACTATTGCCATTACCGGCAAGTTGGGGAGAAAATTGAACAAAGGTTATCTACAAAGATTGCAACTCTGACCATTGCAGAGAGGGTCATTGGTTACATTCCCCCCCCCCCCGAAAGTTCATGTCTGAATCCAGAATCAAGTTGATGAAGGTTGTGGTTCTTATTAAGTGATTAACGGCAAAGCAGTCTTTCTCTTCCTTCCCCTCCTCCTTCAGAAGCATTCAGTATGAAAATGTAATTTAAAACTGGAATTACATGAGTTTCAAACAGATGGCAGAATGTATGCTTGTTCTTCCTAGCCTATTTTGATACTTCCAGTGTGCCATTAAAAAATAGGAATAGTTTAAAGCAAAAAAAAGAAAAAGAAAAAAGATTAAAGACAATGGATAGAATCTTTAGACTGGAATTTTAAAAGAACATAGCAATTCATGGGTGGGTGGGGGGGAATAATTTGCCATACTTTAATGAACAGTATCCCGGATGCTTAAGGCAAGTCTGCCAATAGGTTTCCCTAGGAAATTAGCAGAGCAAATATAATGACCTTGAAATTGCACTTTAAAATGTCCCATATATTTTGCAATTTGGCTTTGAAGCAGTAATTACATTAAAAACAAAAGACTATAATAGCTTGTGTTGTAGTACATCCAGACAGGTCAGGTACTGTACATGGCTGAAAAAGGAAAGTGGCAGAATTAATTGGGTGGTATTTGTTTGCATTTGAATAAAGCAGACAGTGTCCCCCGGGGGAAAATCCTGGTCAAAGTTTACTGAACAAGCCAGTCTGCAACTTGAGCAGAAAGAAACTGAGGGGTTTTGCTTTTTGATGAGCCCTATTCAGAGCTGGACTAGATTCAGCTTAACTTTCACAAGAAAACTTTCTCACAGCTAAATAACATATCCGAGCATGTGCAGCCTCCGGGCAGATCACACCACCGTCCCTGGCTCCTAGATTAGGGTTACCAGGTGTCCCCGGTTCCCAGGAACAGTCCCCGGATTCACCAATCTGTCCCCGGAATGTCCCCGGATTTTAATTAATGTCCCCTGATTTATGCCTGGGGACTTCTGGCTAGCAACATGGCGGGTGCCAAGGCAGCGAGCAGCACCAGAGGTCCCGGCCCCGTCAAAGTTCCAGACAGCCAATCCGCTGGCTGGGGGGGGGGCTATTTAAACCGAGGCGTGAGCCAGAGAGCTTCCTTCTGGCTCGCTTCCTTGATCAACGCTCGCCCTTGTGCAGAGCCGCCTGCAGCAGAAGAGCAAGCAGGGCTCTTCTGCTGCGGGCTCTGCGCACCCAAGTTGGGGGGGCAAGCAAGGCAGTGAAAAAGAGGAGGAGAAGCCTAGAAAAGAGCTGTGCTACATTGCAAGACAGAGAGAGAGAGAGAGAGAGAGAGAGAGAGAGAGGGAGTCTTGTGTGTGTGTTTTAATGCGTGTTTTCCCAAGACCAACAAGCGCCTTTACTCGATCTCTCTCTCTCTCTCCCCCCACCCCCAACCTCTTTGTGGGGGGGTGTTTGTGTGTTTGTAGATGGGCTTCTCCGCCTGCCTTGTGTCGAGGTGCACGCCCGACAACTTTGGGGTTCCCCCCCCCTAAAAAAGGTCAAGAACTCTGGGCAACCCTTTCTTAAAATACCGTATTTTTTGCTCTATAAGACGCACCAGACCACAAGACGCACCTAGTTTTTGGAGGAGGAAAACAAGAAAAAAAATATTATGAATCTCAGAAGCCAGAACAGCAAGAGGGATCGCTGCACAGTGAAAGCAGCAATCCCTCTTGCTGTTCTGGCTTCTGGGATAGCTGCGCAGCCTGCATTCGCTCTATAAGACGCACACACATTTCCCCTTACTTTTTAGGAGGGAAAAAGTGAGTCTTACAGAGCAAAAAATACGGTAATAAAGCATGAAATTTTTTTAAAAAGTGTCCCCAGATTCCTTGAAATAAATCTGGTAACCATATCCTAGGTAACACCTCGACTTTCCCCTTCTTGCTAGCTGACTTACGGACCACATAAGTTACCCACTGAATGCTCTCTGCTGCTGCAGGTCCAGCAATTCAATGTTATGTTAACCTGCATGAGATACATATATTGCTTTCAGTATTGTACAGTAATACTCTCCATTTGATTATGCTCTTTGAAAGGCTGAAAATGTAGATGAATCCCCTCCATACTGTAATGCCATCATCAGGACCATCAGATTTGACTAAGTAATGGCATCACTAAGGATTATTAGAGTGAAGGCTATTTAGTTATATATTTGTTATTTTTATCCCACTCTTCAGACTAGCATTTTGTCCCAGTCTGAAATAATCAAAAATTTAAGCAAAGCATCCCTCCCTCTCTCTCTCTCTCTCTCTCTCTCTCTCTAACTCTGCAGAACTTAGTTCCAATAGTACCAAGTTTGCTTCCATGAAAAGCTGCATTGAGAGGGAAACAGAAATAATGCTGACCAATTTAAATCCCAATGGAATTTTTAACACGCCATATGTTAGGCAATGTTCCTCTTAAATGTTTTAAAATAACACTGAGCTCATAAGCAACTACTAGGCTTTCTTTCACCTGGAAGAGGTGGCAGCTAAGAACAACTTTTGATCAATAGTTCTGTGCTGATGACAATGGACTTTGGATGGACTTGGGCGGATTTCTTAATACTCTGCAGCAGTTCCAGAAGGTCTCGAAAAGCGACTTGCCCAAGCGAATCTATTTGTCAAATCTTGTCAAAATTATAGTTCTGGAGGCAGAGCCTTGTGGCCTTCCTGCCTTTGACGCCTAGGCTGCCAACCCTACAATAGTTCTGGCAGTGAACAAGTACACCGCTTCCTTTGTTCATTTAATTTCAACCATTTGTATGCTGTTTAATCACAGTATGATTAAACAGCATGCAGGAGACCCAATACAATAATGAATCAAAATTATAGAATCAGAATTAATTCCGTTAAAAAGTCTAAAAGTATTTATTTATGTTTGTAATCTTTGGTTAAGGCTGATCGCCGAAGAATTGATGCTTTTGAATTATGGTGCTGGAGGAGACTCTTGAGAGTCCCATGGACTGCAAGAAGATCAAACCTCTCCATTCTGAAGGAAATCAGCCCTGAGTGCTCACTGGAAGGACAGATCCTGAAGCTGAGGCTCCAATACTTTGGCCACCTCATGAGAAGAGAAGACTACCTGGAAAAGACCCTGATGTTGGGAAAGATGGAGGGCACAAGGAGAAGGGGGCGACAGAGGACGAGATGGTTGGACAGTGTTCTCGAAGCTACAAACATGAGTCTGACCAAACTGCGGGAGGCAGTGGAAGACAGGAGGGCCTGGCGTGCTCTGGTCCAGAGGGTCACAAAGAGTCGGACATGACTAAACGACTCAACAACAACAACAAGTGGCAGAAGTTCAAAGGGGGGGCTGTCTGCCCTCAACTGGAAGGGAGTTCCACAGATGTGGGCCCATGACACTCAATGCCTTGCTCTTGAACCTTCTTGGCATAGAAGGGAGAGGTGGACGCATAAATGGGGTAGAGAAAGCAAAGGTAAAACGCCAATTTATGTTGAATTTATTTTTTATGGGGGATTTACTATGCCTTGGAATTTGCCATTATTGCACATTACCAGCTGCTAAAGACAAGCACAAAGGGGTGCTTTCCTCCCTTCGATCTCTGCTTGTGTGCTCTCCTGAGGCATCTGGCAGATCATTATGGGCTGGACGGGCGTTTGGCTAATTGACTGTGGCAGCGCTTATTAGCTATGGCCAGAAACAGAATTCCGAGTGAGATGGACAATGTTTGTAGAGCAGATTTGCCAGTGAAGAGAATATATCGCAATTAACTCTTGATCTCCTTAAAAAATTACGGAAGCGTTGCCATCAAGGATTTTCACCTTTTAACTCTACTTTATCTTGCAAATAGTCTGGCTGCAATCCAGCCCCACAACCATCACACTTCAATCCCATTGAAATCAATGGGACTTAAGCACAGGCAACTGTGAGCTGGATTGAAGCCATGATTCGAAACACTTCAGTTCTGCATTTCCTTTTTCATTATGATAGATAATAATTTCTCTCTTGATGAACAGAAACTGAAACTCCATTAGGAAGAGAGAGAAAAAGACGCCACAAGTAACTTTTGAGGCATTTAATCAAAACCTACTGGTATTACACGAGGAAGATAAAAATGTGCATTTGTTGAAGTGTTGTTGGTTATATACTGTTAATGACTTTTCTTTAAAATACAAGTCTTCAGCAAAGTTGAATAGTTTATAAGTATTCTTTTTTTAAAAATTGAACCGAAACAATCAACCAGCAGCCTGCCCACCCCAGTTGCAACACTTTCAGCATTAATTGAATATTTTAAGTTATGCATTATTTTCATTGCAAGTTTTACACAACTCTAAAAAGTGTGGCTAGCCCACATCACAACAATCAGTATTCTCTGATTCTTGGGATATTTTGCCACATTATGCTGAGGCAAACCTCAGCTACAGGAAGCCTAGGGACATCACAGTAACCATATGGATTTAGCTGCATGACACCTGGGTTCACAGAGTTCTTGAATTGGAAGGGACCCTGAGGATCATCTAGTCCAGAGCTTTCCAAACTGTGTGTTGTGACACGTTAGTGTGTCAGCTGCTCCTTCTGGGGCCAGAAAGGGCTTAGTTTACCCTCCAGTTTGCTAGGGAAACTAAATTACAGTGGTACCTCGGCTTAAGAACTTATTTCGTTCTGGAGGTCCGTTCTTATCCTGAAACTGTTCCTAACCTGAAGCACCACTTTAGCTAATGGGGCCTCCCACTGCTGCTGTGCAATTTCTGTTCTCATCCTGAAGCAAAGTTCTTAACCCGAGGTACTATTTCTGGGTATTTAGCGGAGTGTGTAACCTGAAGCGTCAGTAACCTGAGGTACCACTGTACTGTGTCGCAAAATGATGGCTGTCTAAAAAGTGTGTCACCAACATGAAAAGTCTGCACAGTTCTGATCTAACCCAACCACCTGCAATGCAGGAATATGCAGCCGTTCCCTGCAGGGATCCCTCCTGCAACTTTGCCATTGTCAACACCACGCTGTAACCGACTGATCCATCCAGGCTGATGTGTTCCTTGTGCAAATGTGTTTCTTGTATCATGATTTACCATGGTAGATGGACACATAAAGCAGGTCTATGGTTTTGTGTGTTTTTTAAAAAAAAGTACTGTGTGAAGTTGCTTTGTACAGACTTCCTGTGGTTTCATGCTTTCTCTCGCATGACACAAGATTGGCTTTGTTATGAAAATACATGTCAGTTTTGTCCAGACTCACATGGTTCAGGCAGGCTTAATTTGAAAGTGCCTTTTGTGGGAATATTCAGGGATGCAGGAGAGGATATATTGTTTGATTATATCCTTTCCAACTTGTGTTAACAAATTCTACAATTTAGCAGAGTAACATTCCCCTTTTTAAACTTGCACAGTGGATGCGTTTGCTCAGGCTCGCTAAAGCCTCTAAAATACGTTTCGTTGGCAATTTCCCCCTTAGTCCCTCATAAAAGATAGACACGACACAGTCTTCTATAAAAGTATAAAAAGAGTTTACTCACACATTCTGTCCACAAATGGATCCCAGAAGGCAGACTTAAGTTACAAAAGTAATATACACCTAGAAACTATCCCATAAGGAGATAGCTCCTTTGTCCTCTCTTGCCTGGAAGCCAAGAGAGCGTCTTAGGCTAAGCAGATGTTGCTTCTTCGACGAATGTAGTCAGAGAGAGAGATGGCTGACCAGTCCTGCTCTTTTGTTACCTGGGCAGGTGAGGTCACGCCCACCTCTAGTCACATGCAGAGGAAGTCTGTCCCAGCCTAGAAGAAACAGGAAATTCTGACTGGCTGATCCAGACATCCCCTTTTATGTCCACTCTAGGGATGTTGTACTTGACTGCTCTTGTGTTTCACACCCCACACCTTTAGACACAGATTTGTTCAATTCATCCTTTTTTAAAAAAACAACAACATCCCCCCTCACAAAGAAGCAGACCTGCTTTTGCAGCTTTTAAAAACAGATTCTAACTTCCTACCTTTACAACTCTCCTACTCAACCTATTTTTCCATAGCTGCAAGTGTGTGTGTGTGTGTGTGTGTGTGTGTGTCTGCACTTATGGAATAGGAAAGTTACTGTTGGGTGAGGGGAGGAGGGCAAAAAATAAAAGAGATTTGATCAAGATAATATAGGCAACATTGGCTTTTGCATTCATATCTGACTAGGTCATGCAAATCAGCCTTGGCCTGTCACACATAGCGTTGGATTGGTGCCACTGTGTTGAACGGCATAAGATAATGTATTATCTTTAATATCTCTCAGAGATTTAATCTTCCTTAATTTTGAATACATAGGTTATGCCATCTCTGAGCGATAACATTAATGAGGTGGATATAATTCATCTCTTTGGGGCTTTTGTATACATATATAAAAAGTAAAACAAATAATTTTGTATGGGATCTGCACACTCATCAGCTACAAAAGCAAACAGTAAAATATATTAGATATGGATAATAATTTCAAAAGTTCCAGTACAAGTATTGCCATGTATGGTTTTTTTGCTCTGTTGCTTGTTTTTTTAATGTTAATAGTGAAACTTGACTGAATATCTTCACAGGAAACTTACTCCATTTTAAAATATGGAACAGATTCACTCTTGTGTTATTGTAGGCAATGTGCCCACCTAGACTGAGCTGAACTTGGTTCACCGCCGTTAATTAATTAACTTGGATCATTGCGCAGTAGTTTGTTACAATACAGATGTGGGGAATCTTTGGCTCTCCAGACGATGCTGAACTACAAGTCCCAGCATCCCTGGCTATTGGACTTGCTTGCTGGGGCTGATGGGACTTATAGTCCAGCAACATCTGGCGGACCAAAGGGTCCCAACTCTGAAGATGGGGGTGTTGTAAAGCTGAACACACAAAAACAGGACAGCAGTCGTTTTACCCCATGCTTTAATTGTTGCATTCCACTGCTTTTTCTTTACAGCAAAACCAGATACAAAAACAAAACCAGTTTGCCATCCGAACATGTATAGTTCCACATTTTAAATTCATTTAATTCATCATTATTGTTATGTACTGAAGTTCTCACCCTGGGCCAGCAGGGGGATACTGTAGATAGTTATGCAAATGAAGGATCGAAAGTGACGTTCAGTGATTGGCTAGTTACAGAAAATGGCATTCTAGTAGAGCTCTATATAAGCAGGCTGACTGAGCTCCTCAGTTCAGTTCTGTTCCAGTTTACAAATAAAGAGCTGCCTTGGAAGAATCACTGTGTCGTCTGATATGTTCGCCCACAACTTAACAATTATTTTATTCACTTCCTGCCTCGGACCGATCACCAGCTATCAGCTAAACCTACCCTGCACGGTTGTTGTGGAGATATTGAAGGAAATATGGAACAGCTGCAAATGGGGACTTAGTGCTTGCCTTATAGCCATGAAACTTAGCTTCCTTTAACCAAAGTACAGTGGTACCTCAGGTTAAGTACTTAATTCATTCCGGAGGTCCATACTTAACCTGAAACTGTTCTTAACCTGAAGCACCCCTTTAGCTAATGGGGCCTCCTGCTGCTGCCGCGCCGCTGGAGCACAATTTCTGTTCTCATCCTGAAGCAAAGTTCTTAAACTGAAGCACTATTTCTGGGTTAGCGGAGTCTGTAACCTGAAGCGTATGTAACCCGAGGTACCACTGTAATGCATCTTTGTAACCCAATAAATTGTTTTTGTTCCTGAGTATGTGTCAGAATAGATAATTGCTAAGTGGCAAAAAAAATATTTACAGCCTTTATCTGGGGAGTGAAGAAATCAGGGTGGAACAAAGCACATGGACATAACTTAGTGAATAATGGAGGAATAGTCTTCCCTTGTGTAAAAAAAATATTACGAGTCAGCTGTTTAACTCATTTAAGAACTTAGTTCCATTCAAATAAAGAATTATGGACCAGTACAATGTATCAACAGAACTTAGAAATATATTGTGGAATTATAATTGGTATGATAAAGAAATAATTAAATCAAACCCATGCCCCAAAATATCCACTCAATGAATAAGTACAGAAGGAAATTAAGATCAGGATTGGTACCTATTAACAGCAGTGAGTTTCAACCAAGAAACAGCAGATCAAATACCCCTGTTTAGCATGCAATCCCAGAACAGTAATAATCTAATTGTACTAAGGAAATGTTTTTTAGGGGGTGTTATTAAATCCTATGAACAGATAAGTAATGAAATGGTGCAGTTTCATCTCTCCTCTTTAATACTTTCAAATAAGAGTACTCATTTGGTAAGGGAGCATAAACAAATTATATTATTATGAGCATGAATAGAACCATAAATATGTGCCAAGATATTTGAGGGAATATCCATAATTATGGAATAGCCATAATATTCCAGATGAAGTTTAGAAATGGGTTTGAAAACATCACATAACACAACAAAGTCTTAATAGACTAGTTTTCCACTGGTATCGGATACCTGCATGACTTCATCATGTACTGTACACAGCAGATCAGAAAGCAATTATTGGTGACATGAACACGGGAGCTCACCCCGTTGCGGGGATTCGAACTGCCGACCTTCCGATTGGCAAGCCCAAGAGGCTCAGTGGTTTAGACCACAGCGCCACCCGCGTCCCCATAACTATAAATACAAAACACATAAACTATAAATACAAAACACATAACTATGATCTGACCATGGAGCCACTGGCTATATTGTTTGGCTACATTCATGATACGGTCTTGCCCTTGCTTTCCAGCTACCAAGGAAAGGACCGAGGGAAACTCATGGCACATGCCACATGGTTGATAATAGAGAAGTAGCATAAGCTTCCACAACTTGTGTGGTCAGCCAATCAAAGCCCACGAGTCCTGTAGTGAGCCCTACTCTTCACAGCTCCTGCCCTATTTTTGTATACCTGTGCAGGCAACAAAAACAGAGTGATCAACCTGGTGACACAGTTTTCTGTGAGCTGGTAGTGAGTGGTGTTTGGCTTAGAGAGCCATACGTTGTACTGCTTTCCAATTGTTACGTCTGCCATCATTTGGCAAAATTCTGAAATGCCAGCCAGCAATTCATTTTGGAGCTATAATTTCTGCCTGTGTTTTTTGGTTTGTCTTTTAAAAAAAACCTTAATGGCCATTGGCATAAACATAGTGAGCATTTCTACTCCATAAGCAGTTGTAATTCTTCTGCCAATGATAGAGCTTTCAAAGGTTCACCCACCCACCCCCCAGATTGATGGCAACCCCAATTCTCAGTACCCTCGCCAAACTACAGCTCCCAGGATTTTGGGAGAGAGGGGGGAGAGCCAGGACAGTTAAATTGGTGTGAAACCAATAGAAACATGCACCTCCAGGCACTGGCAGAGGAAGAGGGAGCGGGGGGGGAGCGCACCGCCCCTGGCACCATGATCCCGGTGGGGCGCCACACACACTGGGTGCCAGGCCCCTGCGGGTGCTGCGCCACACCCCCAGGACGCACACCAGCCATGCCTACGCCTGCTCTCCGCCCCCAGTGCCGGGGCATGAAGCTCCCCCACTGCCTCCAGGGGCTGAAGTCAAACCACTGCGTTTTCAGCACTGAAGTGTCCTCCTTGGGGTGCAAGTCTGGGCAGTGTGTAGAGAGGTCCTAGGCTGCCCAGACGACAAGACCCCTCTCTCAGTCTCACTTATGTGGTCCAAAGCAAAGCAGAGCAATATGTTTGGCACCAGCTTGGCTGCAGGAGTTGCCGGAAGGAGGCGTACAAGGCGCCATCCAACTGTCCTGGGGACCCCACTCCGGATTTGTGTAGGGTTTACTCCTCAGCCTTTTCTTCTCCCAAATATATCCTGCAAGGCAGCAGAGGGTTAGTATCAGAGTTTTCCTTCTCCTAGACGGGCCACCTTCTTAGGTGGACGAGTCCCACCTGTCCCTCATTTTCCTCTATGGCACATGCAGAAACCGCCTTCTTGACCATCGGACCCACTATTAATCTTGTCTGCTCAATCCGTCAGAGCCTGTCTTTGCATGCAAGGGAAGTCCCTGACTCACCAAGGGTTTGAGACCCATTGGCTACCCTTCGCCTGCCAATCAAAGTTGTTTCCCAGGTTGTGGCCACTGTGGCATGCTGAAAGCTTCTAGGAGCCACAGGTCAGAGCTGAGCACAGGGTGGGGACCAAAGGTGGACAAACTACCCCAGAAGCAGTGTGACATGTTCCCCACCAGAGGTACTACCCCTCCCCTAACACCCCATACACTCCCAAAACTAAAAGGTTTGCTGCAATTTTGGTGCTGCTGCAATTTGTTCGTGCCAGCTGTTTTGAAAACAATTGCCTGTGTGCATAAGCAACCTCCGTCTTGAATTTTCTCAGATAGAAGAGTCACTTGGTAGTGATGAATAATTCAAGCCACTCTACTACCAACCAACTTTGATAAGTATAACCCGGTGTCAGCCAGACCACTAAGGACTGATCTGGAATGTCAGCACCTAGTGGAATTCACTCGTTTTTATGCTGAAGCATTTGCTTGAACAAAACATTCCCCTGCTTGAGTTAACCAGTGTGTATGCTAGACGGAAATGCTAGACAACAAAAATTAGATTCTTGATGGAGTCCCCAGGAAGGGAGAAAAAGGGTACCAAAGCCCTTTGGATGTAGAGGGATGAGAGAGCAGCAGTGAACCAAGTTAAGCCTGCAGCCTCTACACTTGTTGGATTGCGAACAAGGGTCAGGGGGATGACCCCCCCCTTATTGTTAGCTTTAGAACATCATCTCAGGGTTGCCACCTTTTAACTTGGCAAATTATCATGCACTTCAGCAATGGAGCAAAATGAGTGGGACATAAACAGACTCAGTGGATAATGCTGAATGAAATATACCATTGATCTGACCTGCTATAAAGCAGCTTTAGAGGTTCCAGCTCCCTACTTCTTTCTCTCCGCAGAACCCTTTCTTATTTGCCAATCAAGAGGAGACATGTGTGCTCAACCCACACAGGCTTACAATCCAATCCCCCTTAATATCTTTGCACCAAACAGAGAAAGGTTGGGAGTGGCAGGTACACTGGGACATGCCCTCACGTGTCCCTGCCAAATAGGGGTTTTGAATTCAATGGTTCGGGTCCTTCTCCTGGTCTGGAGGGTGGGACCTGAAACAATGGATTCAAGTTACGAGAAACACCAGGAAGAACTTTCTGACAGTAAGAGCTGTTCAACAGTGGAACGGTCTCCCTCGGAGGTTGTGGACTCTCCATCTTTGGAGGTTTTTATGCAGAGATTGGATGCCCATCTGTCTTGGATGCTTCAGTTGAGATTCCTGCATTGCAGAGGTTTGGACTAAAGGACCATCGAGGTCTCTTCCAACTCTACCATGCTATGATTCTATGATTCCATTAGTGGCACACACCTGTGTTCTGCTATGTGCAGTTGGAGCCAATAATTAGAGGTCCTTAGACCAGTCCCCCGAATTACACAGTTTGACCCACAGTGCAAAGCTCAAACTCCCCCCCCCCAAAAAAACTTCCCAATGTGCACCTGCACACCTGTGTTTCATTTGAAAGCCCTTTCTGTCAAACCTTCATTTTTCACTGGGGTGGAGAGCTTGTTTATGATAGCGCTCCATTTTCCCCTTCCTTTGCAGGGGCTCCTTTTAAATTTGCCCTCAGTTATATGTGGTCAGAAAGCACAAATAGAAAATTTTGCAGGAGCCATAGGTTATGGTGATTATTCATTAGTATTTTGCCATACATTAAGTACCTGTCTGTGTCCTTTCCGCATTAATAGAAATCAAGCAAAGGTACAGACCCACCCCCAAATCAATCCAAATCACATCCTTATTTTTTTTAAAAAAGCACAAGGCAGAGGTTTCCATGTCAGTATCATAACTTTATTTAATGTGATGGTCTGCTACATGCCACTGGTCAGGGGATGTACAATAAAAATTGAGAGGTTCTTAAGTCACATGCACTGTATTGGCTTTTGTTCTCCTGCAGCTGTGTGCAATATGTAATTTAAATTAGTTATAATTGCCCTGGAAGTGGGTGGTGTTGGAAAGTAAAAAGAAGCCGTTTTGAAGTTGGTTGGTTAATGATCAAGCGTTGCATAAATTTTATGTCTTTCCTTAGTTAGTCTCACTGCCCTTATCCTAGGGGGTCTGCAAACTTTTTCAGCAGGGGGCCGGGCCACTGTCCCTCAGACCTTGTGGGAGGCCAGACTATATTTGGGGGGGGGGGGGAATGAACAATTTTCGCCCACCCGCAGAGGCCTAAAGATGCTTCACTTTACCTGTCCCAGTTGTCATTCCAATAGCCACAATTGGGCTTCTCCAGCCAGCCAGGCACCATGGCGGGGTAGGAGGCTGCGCTGGCCGGCGAAGACAGAAGCAGTAGCCCCAGCAGAGGAGCCATGGATGGAGGTAGGGGAACTGGGGCATCGTCGGAGCTTTTACCCACCACCTGCTGCTGCCCAAGAGGCACCGCGGGGAAGAAGACGGAGCCGCCTGCCAACCCACAAGTGGCGGCCGCGGCTACTAAGTTGTGGGTGAACATATCAGATGACACAGCGATTCTTCAGACAGCTCTTGTTTATTCACAGGCCAGAACAGAACTGAGCTGAAGGGTTCAGCCAGCCTGCTTATATAGAGCTCCACTACAATGCAACAGTAACAACTTTCTGTA